TTATTACAAAACAAAATCCAACACTATAAGTACAACAAAGTGAATAATAGATCTAAGTCCCAACTGACCCCAAATTACCACACAAAGTTTCTGGAAACCACATATGTATAACTTTATCACACCAATATGAAGCTCCTCGATTCTAATCCTCTGAAAAATGTTAACAACGAGTGTGAGCTTATAAAGCCCAGTGAACGACTAACATTCAAAGAAATGCACATAACTAAGATAAAGAACAATCTTATATGTTCTTACATAACTTGTTCTTTACTCTACACATATAATTCAACATATCATGCTTGAATGATCAGCTAATGTTTTCCAAAATCACTTGATTTCTAGATTAAACAAGCATCAAGGATCATGTAGCTCAAAAGCAATCAAAAGTACACATGAACAATTACCTTCCTTGGTAATCACATACATTTTTCCATTTTAAGATCATTGGTTTTTGTTCGAAACACAACTCACTCATTGGATTAACAGACTCCATTCAACTCCCATTTTGCTTACGAACTCACATAGTTCCAAAACCATGAATTACGGAGCAAACTCAACGCCCAACCTTACCCCGTATCTTCTCGAAGCAAAGCTCAATATACCATCCAAACCCCATATAATCCCGAATCACACACTAATACAAAACACATATAGTACTCTTTCCTAGGAGTGTCTTTCATATCCAGAGGTCCTATTAAGAACAATAGACAATTAATCCAATTCACCAAGAGTGGTTGTTAATGATGCATAGTTTTCACATATTAATTCAAATACATTTTGAAACACACCTACAGATGGTTCTCATGATCAACCTACATATTTCTACGGTGAGAAAGTTCAGCTCATCCAATTCACATTTAAAATATATATAGATTTTCACAAACCGTTTCCAAAACCCTATGCATCATTTGCAACACATCACATTCATAATTCACATTCTCATTTCCGACACAAGTGGTATCATATGTAAATTAACATAATTCATATTTCATCATCATAATTAACCAAAAAACATAACATATTAGAATTACAAAATAAAACACTACACAAAACTCAACCTTGAATCATGTTCATTTCCTAAGAATGAGAGCCACTCACCTTGATGTCCAAAAACCGAAAACGCTTACAAACACTACCTCAACGTTCACCAAACTCAAAGCATCAAGTTTCCTCAACTAACAACACGATAAGAACCTTTTAAAGAAAATTAACACATCAAAATCTAGTATAAAACAAAGCAGAATCCTCTGTTTCCAAAACAGAGCACAAACGTCAAAAAACCAAAAACCTTATCAAAACTTCATTCTGAAAACTCCAAACTAAAACACACAAATCTCTACACTTAAAGCTGATAAAATACAACTATTATCAACATCTAACTCAGCTAGAACCGTAAAAATTAACATGTACAAACTGATTTCATATGGTTATAATCACTCCAAAAACAACTGAATTTTATTAAGAAAACCTCAAAACCAATTCAAGAAATCAGTACATTAATTAGCTCTAAAAATCAATTGAAATCTTAGAAATCCTTTCAACTAAATTAACAATTCAATAGAATCATTAACACTTAGTCACTTGCCCTCGAAGCTTGAAAGAAAATAAAGGAAAAGATCCTTACCTTGCTGGAAAATATATTGAAATTGAAATCATCAACGAAACTCCATTATGATCAAGCTTTTAAAACAAGAAGAAAATATAATAGAAACTAGAGAATTAAAGTCAAGATTAAGATGAGTGAATTTAGAAATCAAGAAGAAAAAGAGAAAGAATTGATCAGCTTGTTTGGGAGAAAACGAGAGAAAATGGAGGAAGTTAAGATAAGTTACTAAAATGTAAAATGAGAAGGAAATGAAAAGCACATGAATAAAAATAAGCAAATGTAATTTAGATTAAAACGAATCTAGATGGAAAAAAGGGAAAATTAAAACATTTTAATTTAGAAGAAAAACTCTAAACATAAGCCTTGGTGTAATTGGTTCATAGACTTTGGACATTGTGAAAATTTACAAAACGATCACTGAAATTATAATTTCCAATTCTTTCAATTTAGTCACCAAATCATTTAATTAAACTTCCATAATTAAAATTAATCATATAAAATCACTTAAAACCTTTCCAAAATATTTTTAAAACCAAAATTTGAATTTTAGAAAATTTTCTTCCTTTTTATCAGAAATCTTGAAATCGACCCTAAATCGACCCTAACTACCAAACCCAACTTTAGGACGTTACAACTCTCTCCTCTAAAATGAATTTCATCCCCAAAATTACCTTAGCTAAACAACTATAGAAACTGAGCTCTCATCGACTCTTCTGTCTCTTAAGAACCAACAAAATCAATCACGCACGCCAGAAGCATATTCTCCTGAACTTGTATCACTCGCTCCGACTACCTATCTACCTGCGAATGATAAGCCATGCTCAAACTAAGCTTCGAACCCAAAGCGTTATACAAACTTTGCCAAAACTTCGATGTAAACCGCATATCACGATCTGAAATGATCGACATAGGAACTTCATGCATTCGCACTATCTCAGCTATGAACAACTCCGCTAACCTCTATAATGAACACATAGTATGAACCATCAGAAAATACGCACACTTAGTAAACTGATCAACTATCACCCGAGCACTTCAAGTATGCATACCTTGAAGACAATGAAACTTTTTCTATTATTGTAGCAGCGAAACGTAAAGCATTGTAGGAAGCCAAGCTACTCGTTGTCCTGAAGCAGCACAAACAACAAATTGCTTGAAGCATCGTAAATATTAAAGGAATTAGTCCTGCATTTTGTATCAGAACGATCCTAACAATATTTCTATTGAACAACATATAAGGTTAAATTTGATCTTCAAAGAAGTTGTTCAGAAGGAGATCATTAAATAGTTGGATGTTGGATTTATATACCCGATCTCATACAGTAATTAGGTAAGCCATATATAATGCATTTAAAAAAAGGGCGGCACTATTATGGTAACGAATGGAAAAAATAAGTTAGTACCAACGACGACCACTACTGGATGGAAAATATGTATGGACTATAGAAAACTCAATAAGTCTACTTCGAAAGACCACTTCTCGTTTCCATTTATAAACCAAATGCTAGATTGTCTTGCTAGGAAAGCTTTCTATTGTTTTTTAGATGGGTATAACGGCTATAACCAAAATAGCTATAGCCCCTAAAGATCATGAGAAAACTACTTTCACCTACCCATATGGAACATTTTCCTTCCGATGAATGCATTTAGTCTATGCATTGCTCTAGCAACATTTCAATTATGTATGATGGTAATATTCTCTTACATGATTGAAGATTACTTAGATGTATTTATGGATGACTTTTCTGTTTTTAGGCAAGATTTTGATCAATACCTCACTCATTTAGTTGATGTACTGAACTATGTTAAGAAACCAATTTGGTTTTGAATTAGGAGAAACACCACTTCATGGTAACTGAGGGTATAGTGTTAGGGTATTGCATTTTTTGTCAAAGAATTAAAGTAGATAAGATTAAAGTAGAAGTTACTGAGAAGCTACCACCTCTTTTTAGTGTGAAATTAGTTAGAAGCTTCTCAAGACATGTTGATTTTTATCGAAGAATCATCAAATATTTCTCTCAAATTGCTATACCATTATGCTCATTGCTGGAGCATAATAGGAAATTTGTGGTGAATGGTGAAGTGTTGAAATCTTTTGAAACAATCAAGCTAAAATTGGTTACTGCTTTTATAATAGTAGCACCATATTGGAGTCACCCATTTGAGCTTATATCTGATGCTAGTGACCAAGCTCTGGGAGTAGAGCTGAAGTAAAGGAATGAAAATGTTTTCCATTATATACATCATGTAAGTCGAACACTAAATGTTGCCCAGATCAACTACACAACAACCGATAAAGAATTACTAGTTGTTGTATTAGCCTTTGATAAGTTTTTGATCTTATTTAGTTGGAACTAATGTCATTATCTACATTGACCATTTGACTTTGAAGCATTTATTTACCACGAAAGACACCAAGAAGAGGTTAATAAGATGGGTGTTGTTACTTCAAGAATTTGGCATTGAAGTTAGAGACAAAAAGGGTCCGAGAACCAAGTGGTTGATCATGTATCACGTTTGGAAGCTAGTAATGAAAATGAAAAAATATTAGTAATCTCGAACACTTTTCCCGATGAAAGGTTACTTGAAGTTGAAATTTTTCCCTGGTACGTGGATTTTGTTAACTATTTGGTAAGTGTATTGTTGCCACCTGACCTTAATTACCAAGGAAGAAAAAAAATCATGAGAGATGTTCATGCAGTTCATTGGAATGAGCCATACCTCTTCAAACAATGCAATGATCAAATTCTAAGAAGATGTATCCTTAAATGTGAACAACAAAGCATTTTGCATTATTGCCACAATGCACCTTATGGTGGTCATTTTGGAGGAATACATATTGCAACAAAAGTCCTACAATGTGGTTACTATTAGCCATCGCTGTTCAAGGATGCCAATGATTTTGTCAAGAAATGTAATTGATGCCAATGAACTGGTTGCATTTCTCATCACAAAGAAATGTCGATGCAACATATTTTTTAGATCAAAATGTTTGGTGTATAAGATTAAACTTCATGGACCATATCCCTCACATGTGGAAACCTTTCTATCTTAGATGTTATTGACTATGTATCCAAATTGGTTAAGGTTGCAACACTGCCCACCAATAATTCTAAAGCAGTTTTAAAGTTTCTTCAAAAAAAATATTTACTCATTTTAGAACACCTCTAGAATTTATCAATGGTGAAATGTCTCAGTTTATTAGAAAAAGTGACTAAAACATTGAACTGATATGGAGTGAAACATCAAATTGCTACAACGTACCACCCGTAGACCAATGGCCAAGCGAAAATTTCTAACCATGAGATAAAATAAATTCTAAAAAAAGTTGTCAATTCTTGTTCCTACACCTTGATAAATAACTATGGACTTATAAAACTCCGTTCAGCATGTCTCCTTATCACCTTGCGTATAGAAAAGCTTGCCATTTACTTGTACAACTGGAGCTCAGCCCAACCCCCGGTAACTGATTGAAGGTCAAGGGAAATAGAAAAAGGAGAAATCGACTCAAGTACGGTGAGTTCCAGATTTACTCCGTGCACCCTTCTTCCTCTTCCATTCCAACCCCCCCCCCCCCAAAATTTTCAATTAACAATCCCTAAAATCAAACACCTGATCTCTTCGATTTCGTCTCTGGACAAAGAACAAAGCAAAGAAACGCGGCAAATTAGACTTCGTTAGTCTCGCAATCGTGCCCTAACTCAATTTCAAGCTCCCTAGCTTCCAATTTTTTGCTTCCGTCCAGTGGATCAACCTTGGGCTTCATTGCAATTTGGTTTGTTCTTTCAGTGGTAATTCGAATTTTAAATATATTAGCTTTTTTTATGTCTGTTAATCGATTTTGCGAATTAGTCAACAACATTAGTTGCTTGCCTTCAGATTTATCGACTGTTTTTTGTTTCTGTTTTTTTTTTCTGCTGGATACATGTTACGTATTTTTCTTTAATGTCATATGCTTATTTATTGAGAAAACGCAGAGAAAAGGAGATGATATTAGGTCATTTATTTTTATGGTTGTCTTTAACCTTTTAATTGTTTGTAATACGAATGGGGGAAATTTGTGATTGGGGCTTAAGGGTTTTTCTTATTCTTTTCTTTTTTGAATGCGAAGCTACACTTTATTCCATGTTAATATTCCTTGTAATCTTTAGCTGAAAGTAGTATAGTGTTAGATAAATTGCGTTCTTTTGGATGAGTATTACGATATAGTGACGGAAAGGTGTATGCTGCCCTATCGTAATTGAATTATGTATTCTATTTGTAGAATGGTTTGAGGGGCTTTCAGAAGCTTGTTTCTGGATATAGAGTAATGGGAAGCAGCGAGATGGATAAAGCTGCGAAAGAAAAGGACCCAAAGACACCTCCAGCTTCACATGTATTCTTTTATTGTTGTTTGAAAATTTTGGTTTATGCTGTTCTGATTGTTATTTTTACAAGTTTGTTTGTTTAATGATTTTCTTGTTTCCCAGGAGGCATCTTCAACCGCTAACACGGGTACCGTAAATGCGGACTGGTCTGGGTTTCAGGTATCTTAGATAAATGTCTGTAGTTTCAATGCTTTATATTCAAGTTTCTTATGTTATCCAAACCATTACATGTGGATTGTTGCTTGCTAACAGGCTTATTCTCCCATTCCTCCACATGGTTTCTTGGCATCAAGTCCCCAAGCTCCCCCATATATGTGGGGTGTTCAGGTATTTATGGTTTTACAATGGTATCTTAGGATGGTGCATTGTTAGGATTGTTAATTTTTTGTCCTCTTTTACTTATTAGAGCTTGAAGATTTGATCGCATGATTAACTATCGAGATTTAATGATTTCATTTGTTGGTTAGTAAAGATTTCATTTAAATCATTCTTTGTTGCAGCATATCATGCCTCCCTATGGTACCCCATCACATCCTTATGTTGCAATGTATCCTCATGGTGGAATATATGCACATCCATCCCTTCCTCCAGTATGTTCTTTTGAATTATTGTTAGGTTTCATTTCTTATGTACACTATCTCAAGACTTGGAGCCATCGTTTTGACATGGTCTAATCTTCGACAGGGATCTTATCCTTTTAGTCCTTTCGCTATGCCTTCTCCAAATGGTATTGCTGAGGCATCTGTAAGCAGTTTATCTTACTTTGTCTTATGATTTGTTCTTTTTGGATATATGTGTCATTATTTCCATGCGTCCAGAGGATTGACTCTAGATATTTTTAGGGAAACACTCCTGGAAGCACGGAAATGGATGGTAAGCCTCCTGAAGTGAAGGAAAAGTTGCCTATTAAAAGATCAAAAGGGAGTTTAGGCAGTTTGAACATGATTACCGGAAAGAACAGTAATCTTGGTAAAACATCAGGGGCCTCTAACGGAGTTTCTAAAAGGTATGGAAGAAAAGAAATTGTCTTGCAGTTACTGCATAGGTTGGTTGTTAGTTTGTGTTATCGTTATTGTTAGTTACAAGAGCCCATCAAACACAGCGTTGCAATTGAGTTTCATTGAGAAGTCCATGAAGCCCTTTATTGAAGAAGCTGAGGGAGTAAATCTCCTTTGCTTCTCTCTTTATTTCTCATATATTAAGTGTTAGAAAGATTTGAGATGTGTTTGTAGAAGTCATGGCTTGAAGTTTGAGATGATTTTAGAAGACAGATTTTTTGTCCTTTATTTGAGTCTTTTAGTTGGTTCTCCGAAGTCAATATCTGGATTCTTTAATGCAATAATCCATCCGAGCATAAATTATTTTCTTGTATTTGCTACCAAAATGATCACCTTAGGTAATTTAGCTGACAGTGGAATAATTATCATGCATGTGTAGCGGTGGAAGTGGAGGTACAAGCGAAGGCAGTGATGCAGACTCCCAGAATGTGAGTGCAAGGCCTCTTTCGTCTTATATTTGCTTATTATTTTGAATTGACCATCTCCTTTTGTTAGTTTGTCATTTTAAACATGCTTTTCTTATGTACTTTTCCTGTCTTGGAGGTTGTGAGTGACCTGCCAGAATGGTAGGATTCCAGGACAGGACTTCACAATATCATGATTTTCTGCCCCTTCTCATCTATTAGTTTACTCTATAGTCTGGATATGAATTCTTAGGCTTTTGATGTGGCTGCAAACACTGACGTTGCAATTTATTAGTCTTGGCTTGAATCACTTTTCTATTAAATTGATCGAGTTAACAGTGTTGATTGCATGGGAAAGGGAATAATCTCAAAATAATTGTTTTGGATGGTACTTTTTCCAGGGTTATTTCTTTATTCCAATGAGAAAACTTTAAATATTTCATCTTTATTCAAATTCAGGCACTCACCTATGTCACCTTAGTTTTTTTTCCAGACCAACATTATGCAATAAAATGTTATTTTCTGCTTTTTTAGGAATCACAATTGAAGTCTGGAGGTGGAAAAGATTCTGAAGAAGGTTAGACGGTGATAATGTTGTAACATTTTTGCATTGTATTATTGCCATTTGTGTATGTTTGTTCTGAGAATGTCTTCAATGGTTCTTATATAGGTGAAGGATCTCAGAATGGATGTCCTAATTCAGGCCATTCAATAGTGAATACAGCAATGGCCACTGTACCTACAACTACTGGGGCAGCCACAGCTGTTCCTGGTCCAACAACTAACTTACATATTGGGATGGACTATTGGGGGACGCCAGCTTCATCTAATGTTCCTGGAATGCATACAAAGGTTTCTTCGACCCCAGTTGCAGGAGGAATTGTAACCGCTGCATCGCGGGACAGTGTTCAGTCTCAGCTTTGGTTACAGGTTCTCTCTCTGAACAAAGTGAAATTCAAGATCTCCTTGCTTTCGGCTGTAATGTTATGTTTTTGGCCGTGAAATGTGAAATTTAAACTAATTTACTGGATTTTAGGTCAAGGTTTTTTGCTACAAGGAACTGTCACATCCTTCCGTTGCTTATGTGTTTCTAAGAAAATGTTTTCCAATTGCTTTTTCTTTTGGAGTTGTATGTAACTGACAATACATCTGGTTTCATGGATTTTAGGATGAGAGGGAGCATAAAAGACAGAGAAGGAAGCAATCAAACAGAGAGTCTGCTCGGCGATCAAGGTTGCGTAAGCAGGTACTGAAGTACCCTTTAGAAATCGTATATCCTATTATCTTCCATTAGGCTCACAAATGAGTTATTTATCTAATTCTAAATCCTTACTATTGAATCAGGCGGAATGTGATGAGCTGGCTCAGCGCGCTGAAGCCTTAAAGGAAGAGAATGCCCAACTTAGATCAGAAGTCGGTCGTCTCAAAAGCGAGTATGAGCAGCTTCATGCAGAGAATGCATCTCTCAAGGTTATATTTAGTTCTTGCTTTGTTTTGCAAAATATTAGAACTTGTTAGATTCTTCTACTCTTCCAACTGTAGTCTACCTCGTCCAAACCTATTTGCATAATGTCGGTTCCTAATATGGGTTGCATAATTGCAGGAGAGGCTAGGGGAAGTTCCTGTGCACGAGGAACGACATAGAAATAATGATGAACAAACGGAGACGGTGCATGGTAGCCATTAGGTTTCATACACCCTGTTTAATGCCTGCTCCAGGAGCATAACCTAACCAAATTAGCTACATAAAGTTTTTATTTCTGTAATGCATGTTTCAAAGCTGATCTTGATAGTCATTAGGTTCCCTATCTCCCTATAATCCTTCACCAGTGATTTGGCTTGTCTTTACGGTTAAAGCCTTAGGATGTTATGTAGATTTGACATTATGTGATAGCTTTCTCTATTGAAAGAAGGGTATACAGTTCAAGTTTTCAAGCTTGTTTTATGTTAAAATATGATTTGATGAACATGTAACCCTTGGAAGCAGTGAAGTCTGGTTTATTATTACTTTGGCGGCACCTCTTAATTGGTTTTACCCTCATACTACCTTGGGACTTAAGTCAATGCTGCTGTTGAGCAGTGCTGTTTTGCTTCATATTCAAGGTGTAATTTTGTGATCAACAAAGGTTCTGGTAACATTGCTTTTGGTATAAATTCTGAAATCTTTGCCGCCTGTACAAATTATCAAATCTTAAAATTTTTATATTAAACAAAAACAATACTAAAATTAACCTAAATGTTTATCAAAATAATTTGTTCTTTGATGGAACATTTTGATTCAATGTTTCATTTTAAAATAAAAAGCTCCTAATGTGTAAATGAATATTTACTTTTGTCTTTATTTTTTTTTGGAGTATTTTAACTTTTAATATTTCATTTTAGAATAAGATCTCTACTTTAAAACATTAACCATTTATTAACCAACGATTTTCATTTATAGATGAGTTTTTTCTACCTCAAAATAAAACATGAGTCAAAATGTTTCACAAAAATAAGAGTCAAAATGGTTATTTAATCAAACATTAGGGTTCTTTGACATTAGGCCTAAAAAATACTAAACATATTTATTATTTTAACTTATATAGTTAAAATTATGATTTGATATATAAAAATGCTAAGAAAATATTGCTTTTAGCTTTTAAAATTAAAATCACTCAATTAGCTTCAAGTATCTAATTTTTTTTTATCATTTTAAACAAGTATATATTGACATTTCAATCTCTTTTTCAATGTAATGCCAACATTTTTTACATTCACGTTTTAAATAAAAAGAAATTCCAACCAAATCTTTTTAAGTACCCTTAAATGATATTGGATAATATAACTCAAAAGATGGTTTACTCTTGCAGCAAATGGCAGGAAAGCATACAAGAAGCAACCACTAGAGTGCTTATGATCCATGCACTACAAAACTGATAAACAAGGAGATAGCAAAGATCCCCCACAACCATACAAGAAACAAAAGGTAGTGTTACCGCACTGGTAAATCAATAGATTTCGACCCGCATTAGACACCTTACTTGTCGTATGCAGCTATATTTTGGGGTTCACATTCGGGGCTGAAAACTCGAACCAACAAAGCAGATGTTGAGCTGACAGACACAGCTCCACAGGCAGCCCATCGAAGACTTCTCGGAATGGTAATTCTAGGGCCTGCATCACCATTAAAAATAAGATGCAAAAGACGGCACAAGGAATATAACAAGAAACTAACATGGTGTTTATGCACATGGCAAGAAGACGGTAAGTTAGGTATATTTTTAATCTTTTCAAAATATACTTAAAGAGAGGAACAAACCATAATGCAATCTACAAAGAACCCAAAATCCTAAAGCTCCTCCAACAGTAAAAATCCCAGCTGTCTGTCTCATTAATCTGGAACAAGGCTTTGCATCTGATCTCATCAATTCACCATCTGACCAGCCAAGCATACGCCTCAACGCCATCTATCAACACTTCAATTCAGAGGTACAATCAACACTTCAATTCAAAGGTATCTAATGTTAATGTAAGCCACAAAATCCTCCTCTTCGCTTATTCTGTCTTAACTTCAACCTGTAACAAGTCAAATAGTAACCAAGGGATGAACACAATTTAGAGCATAAAAACAGTAACTGGGGTATGAACATAATTTGGAGCACTATGATGATATTCTTCAATTTAACAGCAATTGTAATTCTCGGCAATGCTGATAAAAACCCTTAACAAGAAAAAAAATAGAGGATCATTCAAAATATTAAAGCAACCAAAAGCAATGCATGTTATAATATGTTGAATACACCTTGTAAAATGAAATTTAAACAAAACCACATTGAAAAACATGAAAAGAAGTAAAACTAGTGACGAGCAATAAACTTTGAAGTAAAAATAAGAACTTGACAACCCCATTTAAAACCAGGGGAGAAGAAAAGGAATTGATTGACTTTGAAAAACAATAATACATTTGACTTTACCTTAGGGGTGACCAATCAGTCGGTTCAGTCAAGAAAAACCAAAATGCTACAAAATCGACTTTCTATTTTGCAAAAACTGAAAACAAACGACTTGAGGAGGAAAACTAACTTCAACAGATTGTCTTCATTGCAGTCAGTTCGGCTCAAGACAGACCAAATCCAAATTTTACTTTGGTTCAATTTTTGATGTGTTTACATGATGTGCATAAAGAATATCTTAACACCCTGTCTTTCTCAAATAGCCATTTAAATAACATTCTGTTTGAACTCTAAAACCCAAGTTTAGAATCATTCAAGCAGTGTAAAAAACATGTTCAAATAGCAACAAAAACAAGTAAAATTTTCACATTGTTCCAAGAAAATCCTATCACTGGAAATGCTTCACAAAGTCAGCATGTAAATTAAGACGTACTATTCTCAGATATAATGGAAAATCAAACAATCAGCTAATGTTTTTGTTCTAAGAATAACCTAATAATCGAAATGCTTTACACTTACAAATTAAAATTTATATCTAAACAAAAAAGAAAAACATTCACAGTACCTTATTCGGGAAAAAAAAGAAGCCAAACATGGAAACGAAGACTTAAAATACACATATCTAAAGGAAAATCAAGCAAATAACTTAATATATGCAATGAACCTAAGCGAAAACAAATGACCTGAATCACAATGAAAGGGAAACGAAGCTTAAAACACGGAAGTAAGCAAAAGAGGGAGACGGCGGCAAGACCAACTTTGATGGCTGAAAATGCGACTGAAACAGTTCAGACAGAGACAAGGTGGCTTCCAGCTGACTGAGAACCAAACCAAGAACGCAAGGTTTTTCAGCCAAAACGGAGCCGGGAACAGCCACGGAAAGATGTGTCAGTTACTGTTTAAGCGGGGCGCTGCCGCGTTGTGCAAGAGAGAAAACTTAAGCCCGATCTGCCGGGATGGGGTTCTAAGAGGCAGTTCTGAGGGCGTTGAAACAGACTGAGACTAGGAAGAGTAGAATCTTACCGGAAACGAAGTTAGGGAGTCGTTGAGTCCGCTAGATGCGGTGGTGGTGGTGGCAGTGGCGACCCAGGGGTTTGAACTTTGAAGGGAGAAGCGAAAGCACTATTGAAAATTTTTAAGGAAATTATAATACTTGAAGTAAAATGGGATTAAAATTAAAAAAAAAAGTTAACAGAGGTAAAAAAAATAAACCTACTCCAGTTCAAATAGAACAGTGATCAAAGGTATAGAATTCAGAAAGAAGAAAAATGGGCAAATGATAGGGAAATCGTTACGGTTTCAAGGTTTTCTAAAATCACACTAAGTTTTCATATTTTACAATTTAATCTTATATTTTTGAATCTTTGCAATTTAGTCTAGATCTCTAATTAAAAGTATAAAAAAAATTATATTATAAATTTAAGGCATGAGATTATAAAATTTTAAGGATCAAAATTAGATTTTTACTAAAAAATATAAAAAAATAAATTATATGAAAATTGAAAAGTTCTAGGGAGGCGATTGCTCTCCCCGTCCCTAGATCCACCCGTCTACATCTAGGTGTGTGAGCCAAGCTTTTTTTTTTGTTTCAAGAATTTAAGGATTAGATTATTAAAAAAGAATAATCACGCGAGTTAATTTAGAAAATGATTAGATCATAAATCAAGTGACTTCGGTGGTGCATGAATTTTTTTTTTGAGTTTCTGGATTCAAATACCATGAATGCCAGAGATATGAGTGTTTAATGTCAAATTTTTGAGAATTATCTTTAAAAAAATATTATATTATACTTATACCAAACTATAATTAAATGTTTTAAACTTTTATTTTTATTAAGAGTTAATTGTATCATATGTCCCCAAACTATAAGTCTCATTTTAAACTAATCCTTAAATTTTTTGAATATTTTAATTTAATACCCAAACTATAACCCTTATTCTAAATTAATCCTTAAACTTTTGAACATTCTAATTTCATCCCTAATTATAATCCTCTTTCTAAATTGGTCCCCAAACTTTTGAATATTCTAATTTCATGCCCAATTTCATCCAAATATGTAGTTTCAACCATACTTAAACATAAATTTTATTTTTTAAAACATATAATAATATAACTTGGCCTATTTATTTTAGGACCAATATAAATTGGCATAATGATTTTATTAACAAGGGATGGTATTAGTATATACATATAGTTTGGGATAAAATTAGAATGTTCAAAAAGTTTGAGGATCAATTTAAAATGAATGTTTTAGTTTGGCGATGAAAGTGAAATATTTAAAAGTTTGAGGACTAATTTAAAATGATAGTTATAGTATAAGGATGAAATTAAAATATTTAAAATAATAATCATACTTTGAGGACATGTTATACAGTTAACTATTTTATCAATGCTGATTTTTTCATTTGGGTTTGGTTTATTTATTGACGTGGTTTGGGTTTTATATAAAATGTGGTTTAGGTTTATAAGAGGTGTGCTGAGTTTAGTAAAGTATTATGTTGGTAAACTAATTGAATAGTCATTATATAATAGTTAAGTTTTATTCTAATTATTGAATAAAAAAATTTATCAATAGAATTATTTAACATGTAATAGTTAAATAAATTTATATAAATATTCTCATTTATTCACTATATCTATTTGTACAATAAATTAAATTTTCTAAAATAAGAAAATGAGGAAAAGTCTAAAAAACGATAGTTTAATTTAAGCTAAAAAAACAGTAATCTTGGGTGTAATCGAAAATGTGATAAAAAAACATAACATTTTAGGTTGAGTGCAACCTAAAATGTTAGTTTCTTCCTAACATTTTTATTGAACCAAAAATATTAAATTCTTCATAATATTTTAGGTTATTTTAGGTTGACAATTAAAAATATTATGTTTTTTGTAATATATTTAGTTCAACAAAAATAATATTAGAAAAAAAGTAACATTTTAGATTATGTCCGCTATAAAATATTAAAATTTTTATTGCATTTTTATTTACACTTAAAATCACTAATTTTAACTTTAAAATAGATTTTCGCATAGCAAATTCTCTCCAAAAACGAGGAATCGGAGAATAGAAGTGCTAAACCCAAGATAATAAGATAGGGTGTTAGTGCACTAATTTATGGGTCACGCCTATAACTTGATTAAAAATTGATAAGATAATTTTATTAACCATGATTTTATGGTTTAAATGTACATTTTTTTCCTAAAGTAGGTCATTTGTATCAAATTATTCTCTACAATATCTTTTAAGACGTTTTGTCCATTATAAATTAAATCATTATCGTTTTTGTCTCAAATCATTAACCCTATTTAAAATTAAAAAATAAATTATATATTTAATTACTCAACTATTTATATAGTTCCATTTTAGTCATCTATCTTTTTTTCAAAATCGTCACCAAACTTAAGTTTTTGTTCTGTTTTGATCTCTCAATTCGATTCACTTTATTTTTAAAAAATTTTAATACATAAGACTTCATTTATATCATTTGTATGCACTTAAAATTTTAATAAAATAAATACTAAATGTCCAATTGAAATATTATAAATATTTTATAAAACAAAAATATAAATGGATTATTATTCGTTTATAAATATATATGTTCCGTAAAATTTAAATATCATATTTTGAATATTTCATAGGTTTTTATTTTTATTTTTTATTTTTGTATATTTAAAATATTAATATAATGGATGTTTCAGCTAGGTTAAAACCCAAAGGCTCAGATTTTACTTTGATGGCAGTTTCCGAACTGTCTTCTTCAGCGGTTTCGTCCGACGCCTGTTCTTGCTCGATTAAGTGCTGATCGTGGAGTTACACAGCTTCACTGAAATGGGAATAATCTCTCCATATTCGTTGTAGTTTTTTTGAGTTTTTGTTTGGGGTGTTTATGTACAATGAGATGTGAATCCATAGCTGACTTCCCATTTTCATGGCCTAAAGCTAGTGAAATTTTTGATGTACAGACTAAACAAGAAAACTCGGTTCACGAATCAATCAAGAAGGAGAAAGAAAATGTGGTTTCATTGAACACAATTTGATGAGAAAGCAATTACAAAGGAAGCTAATAAAGATTTGAAAGTAAAGAAGAAAATGAAGAATTAGAAAAGATTGAGCTACCACTGACCGAAGAAGATGATGAAGATGTCGAATCGAATTGCCTCCAGAAAGCTGTGATCTCTTCGATGGACAATGGGTTTTGGATAAAAAAAAAAAAAAAAAAAAACACATCCTTTATACAAAGAAGATGAACGTAACGTGAGTTTCTTACAGCATAAGTGACTCGCATGAGAAATGGAAGGAAAGATTCTTTGTATCAGAACTAGAGATGGCGGCCTAGAGATTGTAATCTACCAAAGTAGGAATAAAAAATAAAGAATATTCAAAAACAAAAAATAAAAAGCTATCAAATATTTAAAATTCTATATTCAAATTTTACCAAACACATATATTTACAAATATATATAATATTTTAATGTAACATTTAATATTTTTATTAAAAATTTCAAGTACGAACAACTTAATATGTTATTTATTATTTGCATTATAATATTATTATTATAAATTAAATTTATGTGTCAAGTAAAAAATATGTGATATAAATAAATTCTTATAAATTTAAAATTTAAAAATAAATTGAATTGAATTGGGTGTCTAAAATGAAATAAAAGCTTTAATTTAGTGATGGTTTTGAAAAACAATAGTTGGGTGACCAAAATAGAACCATAACTAGTTGATTGACTAAATATAAAATTTACTCTCGTGTTTTTAATAGAGTTAACCATTTGTGACAAACGAATTAATGGTTTAAACTCCAGAGGACAAAATGTCTCAAAAAAATATTTTAAGGAACAACTCAATACAAATGACATACTTTAAGAGACAAATGTGCATTTAAGCATTATTTATTACTGAAAATTAGAGAAAGTGAAAATGAGATGGATAAATTCAAATTTATGTCCAATAGGATAAGAAAGGGAAAACTTAACCAATAACCGCTAAGCCAATTCTAGTACTTGATTAAGAAATGTACTATTAATCTAGGGTAGTTAATATACTATTAATACAATATTATATAATATAATATTTTTATTATAACGATCAGAGGCAGTCCTAATTATTTTCTGGTTCGGGACGAAAATAAATTGGGTCCTAAATCATTTTTTTAAGAAATATTTAATATGAAAATTTTAACATAATTTTTTAATAAATTAAACAAATAATAATAATTCATTGTCATCTCACAAATGTCAAGAACATATTTAAGCATACAAATACTTATGAATAGTTTTCGAGCATTTCTTAATGTAAAATCATTGATGATAGTGTCAGCATTAATGATTTCCAACATATTTTTCTTAATACATAACATAGCTAGTCCATTCAGTGTTTCTTGTGATATTGTTGACCTCAAGTAATTTTTCAATAATTTCAACTTTGAAAAATTTATTTTTGTGGATGCTACTGTCAACGACATTATTAATAGGATTTGAGAAGTAATTGAAACATTAGTATAACAATGCACCTTTAATAAACTAAAATATTTCAAGTGTTGACATGAACACATTTGTCAAAGTCAATTGCAACACTTTCATTTAAAAAAAAAGTATTTGCATCAACATCTGATAAACTATTATCAGAAAAAATAATCTTTGTTGTGAAAATAGTCTAAACGAAGCAATAAGAAGAACATTAAGAAAAAGAGATATAAGAATAAGGAGAGAGAACTATATTATTATCTCAACCTGAGTTGTGTACAATGTTTCCTAGCCATAAGTAGTAGATGTAATATACAACTCTAATGTCAATGGATATTAGAGATCTAATATTAATGTATACCAATATCTTTATCTTATAGATACATATATACATCCACATAAATAAATATTAATAATACTTCCTCTTGGA